ACATGCTGCATGTACATCACAAACATTCTCTGACACTGGCCTGTTTCCTGTAATGTCTAAAGTCCTCGCTTCTAAAGGAGCTGAGGGCATCACAGTCTGTAGATACATTTAAAACAAGTCTCAAGACTCATCTTGTAGTTTAGCCTTCTCTTAATCCACTGTATATGCCTTCATTATTTTCCTGTGTACTGTTGTAAACAGAAGTTGATATACACTTGTGAAGCCCATGTCCTATGTATCAGGGAAGTCTTGAGTTTCCAATTATTCCTATTACTCTCCATTTTCTATGATGGACTCATCGAAGCTCATAAATCTTTGTCTCAAAAAACATTTATGCATTTTAGTTCTTCTATAAAATTATTAAATGTCTTCCGGAAATATGTCAAAAATCGCTGGGTCAACAATTTTCCTTCCGGTATTGTTATTTTTTGGTTGTCGCCATTCACAAGCTTCTGGTTGTATCTTTGACCACCACTCCTGACAGAACTGGTACAGCTCAACTACATTTGTTGGTTTTCTGACACAGACTTGTTTCTTGAGCCACATGTTCTCAATGGAGTTGAAGTCAGGACTTTGGGGAGACCAGTCTAAAATCCTAATCTTGTCGGAACAACCAGCTGTGTCCAAGACCCTTTGGCTGCTAATTTTAGGTTTTCCTGAAGAATATGCTGGTGATCTTCACTGCCCCAATTATTCTGTGTAAAGTGCCGGTTCCAGGGGCAGTGAAAAAGCCCCAGATCATAATACTGCCACCACCGCGTTTGACAACAGGTTTGATATATTTGGCGTTTAAGGCCTCCCTTTTGTTCTGCTGAACATATCGCTGTTCGTTGTGGACAAATAGCTCAATTTTTGTTTCATCTGACCAATAGAACTTTCCTCCAGAAGGTCTTTTCTTTGTCCAAGTAGAGATGCAGCAAACTTCAGTTGAGCCTTGAGGTGTTGCTTCTTGAGGAAGAGCTTCCTTCTTGCAGGGCAGCCTCTCAGCCCATGGCGTTGTTAAAACTACTGACACCGACTGTGTTCCAGCAGCTTGTAATTCATTGCAGACCTGTTCTGTGGGGAATCTTGGTTGACTCTTGACCATTCTGCCAACGACCCCTCAGCAGCAGGTGATAGTTTGCATTTTATTTCTGATCATTGCAGCAACACAACTGTGACATGCATTTTATACAAACAATTGTTTGCACTGTTGTAGCTGCTTTACAATCATTGTTGGAGGTGATTCTCCTGACTTGTTCCAGTGATTGATTTGCTTCATCAGATCTGTGCTGCGCTCCTTAGACTTCTTCATTGTAGCATCTTGAGAGTGTAATGAGTGTATCAAATAGGTCCTACGCTGGAATTTGCTTCAGGAAAATTTGATTATTGACAGTTCGACTACTGAACGTAATTACTACAACTATGAATTTTAATTAGTAATTTTGGGGCACCACCCTGAAATCAGGGATCAATAATCAAACCACCACCAGTCACTAAGGAAAGGGAATAAATAACCTAAGATTGTTAATATTTAGAAAACATCTAACAATTAATTAGTGAAATTGAGCACTAACAGTGTCAACCAGCTGATGTCACAATCAATCCTGCACAAACAACCACAGACAAATGCTCTTGTTAAGTTTGCTGCATGTTTATTTCAAAAAATGTATTTCACCAATAAATTTCTCGAGCCGATAAACATGTGCTGTAACTATCACTACAGGTGATAACAACAAATAAATAAGAACAGAAAAGCAACACCATGCAAGGCTTTGTCTGTGTGTGTGTAGAGAAAGACAGCAGGGGGGAGCAAGATGGTGGATGTGGGTACGTTGGACCACGTGTTGGCCACCAGATGTGACCGCTCTATGTTTGAACAAGACAGTGGTTATAACACCGCTGGCTCCACATGTTCTTTTAAAGGCCACACAATGGCGCACAGCGAACTGAACACACTGTATGTTCTGAATAGGTGCACTACCTAGGGGAATGAGGATTATGTGTCCTCTTAAGGAGATGGCCCTCTAGTGGCACCTGTGAGGTTTACAGACAGTGTGTGGATGTGCAAAGAGGAAGACAGCGGAAGTGGAAATACCTGAGGATTATGTAAAGTTTGGAGTCTTGATTGACTGCTTTCGTAAACGTAAAGTCAAGGTAAAAATATCTTTTAGACGCTCTGAGCTCTGGCGGAGGAATCACATGTAGTTTGTGGTATGAAATGACATGAGTTTAGAATACTTTGAAAATGATTTATGAATTTATCACAGGCATTTTGGCTGCTTTATCGTCCAGCCAGGCTCCCATCAGATAACTCAGATGCTGCAAAGACGCAATGGAAATCTGTAGTCTGGAGGACAACAGGAGCTCACAGTGAAACGTGTTCGGTAAGCGAGGCATTGTGTTGAACTTCATTGCTGTCGGTGATGATGTTCTCATCCAACAGCTACATATCTGTGACATGTGGACTGTGAATACTGCTCTTTTGTGTTTGTCGTTCAGCTCTGTTTAGTTCCGTTTCCCTGCGGCGGACTGATGCTGCTGTACAGCTGTTTTCGGAGTATGTTGTGCATCAGCAGAGCAAACGTCACAGCCGGTGAAATTGAACACTGATGGAATAATGTCAGGCTTTAGTCTATTGGTCCGGTGAACTAGCTTGCTGGACTCCACCGTCTTCTCCTCAATGTAATCTTCTTTCAGCCTCTCTCTTTGTTCAGAGAGCGATGGTAAGGCCCAACAATCTATTTACATTTGCTCAGAGAAGTCAACAGCTGTAGTCATTCTTCATCACTCATGAGAAGTGAAGAGGCCATGCCACCAGGAATATTTCATTAACAGAGCTTTCTACGTCACTAAAACTGATCATTCAAGTTATGCATGTCTATTTTGAACCCAGCAAATTTTGTCATGTTTCCAGAAGGAAGTATGAAAACTCTATGAAAGAACCAAAATGCATGATTGATTTTTCTGTGACAAAGACACGCGTGCTTCAATCATTCCATCACAGAGAACAGAGTTAAAGGAACCACTGGAAACTCAAGACTGCCATGATAGTAATGGTAAACTTCTGTTCACAACTGTGTCATCTGTGTCTAGTTGTATTTTTATTGACTTGTTAAGCAATTAGCATTAGAATTCTGCACGAAAGGTGTTATACAAAGAAAATCTGACTTCATTTGTAATGCTGAAGAACTGCAGGCTTACGAAATTAAAATGAAATTAACAATGGATTCCAATGGACACCCAGAGCCAAAACAATAAATCTTGTTGTAACTATGATACAGCTCTTCTCATTGGATTCATTTATTGATACCTATAACATAACTAAACACAAAACACAACTTGTCTGTGTAGATAATTAGTGATCCAGGTCATGGTAATCCTAGGAGCTTCAGTAGAAAGCAACACATCTGACTTCTTATCCAAGAGGATTCTTCAGTTCTAACTGATGGGGAGTTTTAGATGTTTACTCCAGCTGATACAGCTAATGGCCCGGTAACGACCAGGACTCCCACGCCTCAGGGTGTCAGCGGTCATGGAGGAAATAGCTACGTTTACAGAGAAGGCCCAGCTCAACATGTAAACAGCAAGAAGTGACAAACACACAAGTGCCCAATACTACAAGCTAAGACCAAAAATACTAGGATAGTTTCTGAACCAGCCAGAGAAAACCAAGAGGAGTCCACCATTAGACACTCCTGACATGGAAGTAACCCAACTAGAGAAGGCTGTTGCAGCCAAAAGGACTGAACTTCACCATATCCCCACAGCAGGTAACAGAAGTGGACTTTATCACAACCACAGCAGCAGTCATTATCAGAAGCAGAAGCCAAACAGGTACGGCTGAAGATAACAGCAGCACTTTAGTACCTCCTTCCAAGTTCACATCCCAGGAAAGGGGAGCGGTAGTGTCTCTCAGCAAAGATAAGAACTTCACATGCAGAGGTAGAAGCACTGTGGTCCTCAACACAGCTGACTACCACACTATCCTTCCTATATAACGCTCATAGGGATCTTACTGCTGTCTGATGCTACAGGTATTAAACAAACTCAGAGGCAATAGTTCCAAACAGCTGGAAGAAGCACACTGCTGCTCCTCTTAACATTTGTGTGGAAAAATCACTCAGATTACACTCATTACTGGTGATTTTCATTTATCTTTAAGCTGTTCGTGTCAGTTTTCATTGCATTAAGGTTTTATTATTCTAGACACTTCATTTTGTTGCCTGATAGATTTGAAATTGTAGAGCAAAGTGTGTGAAAAAGCTGTGTTGTGGTTTTTGGCACATAAACTTTAAGCATCTCTGTGACGTTTTCGAACAAATATTGATGCTAAAAAGAGGAAAAATCCTTCAAATCACGTCACACGACTCAAAGCAACGCCGCTTGTGCAGTTTTTATCCCGTAACGTGACAGCTCAGTTTACACTTGTGCCACGTTGAAAGTGATAGTATGTCTGACCTAGTAAGGATGCCGGTGCAACTTTTACAAATTAGCGACCGGGCTGCGCATTCACACATGTATCTGACCCATTTAGTTGCCGTCTGATTAAAAGAGCAGAGTGAATGTCTGGAATAAGTCAAACAGCCATGTCTAAACAGAAGGGGAGGGGGGTCTCCAGCACCATTTATCAAGCACCTGTAACGTAGTGCTAAGATCTCTCCACAGAAAGTTTCACCATCATTAACATCTTGAGTGACTGCTGACATGGCAGATTCATATCCCTTCTTGTGAAAACTTGCAGCTCCCCCACCATTGATTCTGTCGTCAATGTTGCACCACCTGGTTTCACAACCGTTCACACACTAAGACGTGAGAGTCTTTGGTGGCTAGTGGGTCTTTAGCTGTGTGAGCTGGAGCTACAATAAACATCTGAAAGTCCACATTAGTCAGATAGAACTGAAGACGTCTCTTGGATGAAGGTGAAACATCTTCATCAAACGGTTTACCTTTTCTTCTTTCTGCACAAATGACAGCTGAAACATTGTACAGCTAAATCTGAACAATAATATCAATATAATGTACAAAATTATTCAGTAATGTATAGGGATGCACCGATACCAATTTTTTCCAAAACGAGTACTGTACGAGTACTTGCATTTGAGTACTCACCGATACCGATACCGATACCGATACCAAGTACTTACGCTATAACACATAAAGTTACTTTGAAATCTTTTTATTTTTCCATAGATATCGTCTGTTATTTGAACAACATTGCTCAGTATGTTTTTC